AAAAAAAATGATTGATTTGGCGTGACTTACAGAAAGTTAATCTGAATAGAAAGCCAACATGAATCATGGAATGTAGGTTGCCAGTTACGAGTGATCCAGTGATCATCTGAATGCAGAGTTTCTTTGACATAATGATGGGATAATGAAGTGGATTGCATATCGCCACATAGCGGTCATATGCCATGGCTGCCAGGAGAAAAGTGTCTGAAGTTTCAGAAAAGCAAAAAAAATAAAATTGTGACATACATTGATGAAGGGAAATCATTCTATCCTTAGAAAAGAAGTTCATTAACATCTTAGGAGTAACAGCACATGAGCAAAAAGCATCCATAAATGCCAAGTTACCAAGAAACAGATACATAGGTGAATGGAGTCGGGGTTCAATTGAAATTAATATCACCAGTCCAATGTTGCTTATTATGGTTATCAAGTAGATTACAAGGAAAAGTATGAATAGAGGAATCTGCAATTCTTGGTGACTTGTAAATCCAGTGAGGATAAACTCAGTTGTCAAAGTGATATTCTCAGCCATATCAGTCTCCTGAAAACAAGGATTTTGGATATATGTTAGAATTCAACTCAAAATATATCTACTTCTTTCTGTTAACTTCCTTCAGCCGAGATGAAAGCACAAACAAGTCTACTGTTTTCCAGTGTTGTTTCATCCACATTCATTAAGCATCAGGCACTGTGCTAAGTGCTAGGGATACAAAAAATGCCAAAAGATGGTCAGTGCCCTCAAGGAGCTCACAATGGGGGAGAGAATATGTAAACAAATATATACAAACAAGTTATATACAGGATAAAAAGGAAATAATCTAAAGAAGGAAGGCACTAGAATTAAAAGGGGTTGCAAAAGACTTCCTGTTAAAGACAGGATTTTAGTTGGTACTTGAAACCTAGGAAATCAGTAGACAGAGTTAAGGAAAGAGAGCATTCCAGGCATGGGGGACAGCCAAAGCAAATGCCTAGACCCAAGAGATGGACTGTCTTGTTCACTTCTAAGAGGATATCAATTTCTCTGAGTTTTTATGGTCATAGTTTCTGAAACTTTTTGGGTTCCGAAGAGTCAATATCAAATTTGCTTGGCCTGGACTCTTTTTGTGTGGTTTAAGAATCTATGCTGTCTGGGGCAGCTAGGTGGTGCAGTAGATACAGCACTAGCCCTGAAGTCAGGAGGACCTGAGTTCAAATATGGCCTCAGACCAAACACTTGACCCCTACTAGCTGTGTGACCCTGAGCAAATCACTTAACCCCAATTGCCTTAAAAACAAAAAAGGATTTATGCTATCTTCAAAAGGTTCTTTTTCAAGGATTTATGCAAGCCTAGTCTATTACCAAGGATCAGCTACTGGGCTTTGTATTTTCAAACAACTAAAATGGTAACAGTTAGTTGCCTCCTACATAATAGATATTTTTTTAAAAGTCTCATTTTCAAATATTTTCCTTTAGTTAAAAATTACTGTAACCAATGGTGCATCTATTCCAAAATCACATGCTTTTCAATGTACTGAGCTTGGAAATTCCACAAGAATTAGCACTGGTGGATCCATGTTCTATCTTTTTCACTATTCAGTCTCAGACAATATTATCAAAGACAAATGTTATCAAAATGCCTCCTTGCCAGGTATTGATGCTCATTTCAATAGCCTAGGAAGGCTTACCACAAAGCTTTCCATTCCCCTAAAATTTTAATGTATCTATCACACTGAATTTTTCCAAATCATTCTTGAATTTATTCATACTCTTATACTTGAATAATGAATTCAAAAAGATTACTACCCATTGTACCATGATGATCTTCTTTTGCTTGTCCCAAAAGTTCCTTTTTAAATCTTTGAAGGTGTACTATAATACTAGCTTTACAGATTTTGGTAACCATGTCTCTGTTGACATTATTGATAGCCTTTATTAAAGAATTATTTGTGTACAGAACTGCATGTATAAAAAAATTCCTTTTCTAATGCAGATTAGCACCTTCTCTGAAACATACATTTGACTCATTGAGAAGTAAAGTGATTTGTTCAGGGTCACATAGAAAGTATGTGTCAGAGGTGGGACTTGAACACAACTCTTCTTAGTTCTGAGATTGGCTCTCTCCACTACATCATGCTGTCTCTCTTCATCCTTTATTATTTGTATTAATTTTTAGTATTGCTTACCCTCTTAGATTTGTCTCCTTTTTTTAGTGCATTATTGTCCAGAGGATCCTCCAGTATTTTGATCATTTTAGTTGTTCTTTTAGGGGCTTTCCCTTCAGCTGTTCTGTCTCTTTTGGAGAGTCATCATGATGACTTCCTGCAGAATTTCAAGAGCAAAGATTCCTGCTTTATAATGAAGTAGAATGGTCTGTTTGTTTTGCTTCCAAAACCTGATGATGTTTATTCAGTATTCCTTTTCAGCTTTCTCATCACATTTAGACCAAATGCCTATGCAATCTGCCATATTCTGAGTACAATAATTAGGATTATTTTTCATTACTTATATTACCTTTCATGTGTCCACAATGAAGTTCAGTCTGCTACTTTCTGCTTATAAGGTATCAGCATGAAATCTTCCTATCTTATGTCTCCCTCAGCTTCTATAATTGATTTATAGCATGACTTAGTTTTAATTCTGTCAGAACTAAAAGGAGGAAAATGGAGGGGTGTCAGCATGCCATTAAAATTCTAGGGAAAAATGGAGAATTTCAGTATGTTTTGATGTTGTTAGGCTACTAGTGGCTTAGAGAAGGCCTACTGAAAATACTGATCTTGGTAGATAGAAAAATATGACAATTTTTAGTTAATTTTCTGGAGTCAAAATTTCAGTTGTGATTTTCTTATAATAAGGACTGCGTGGAAAGCCATCCTTCTCCTAAACATTAGCTAGCATTTACATATCACTTCAAGATTTACAAAATTATCTTTATATATTATTTCATTTGATTCTAATGGGCCTGGAAAATATGCTAGATTCCCATTATTGATACAAGTTAGAAAATACAATGAACACACAAGCTATTTGTGGGCATTACTTTACAGAGTCAATAAATAAGCATTTCTTAAAAGCCTGTTCTAGGCATTGGTGGTACAAAGACAATAATAAAATAATTCCTACCCTCAAGGAGCTTATACCATATGCTATGTATAGTATATGGCCAGGTACTATGCTAAGTATTCAGGATATATATATTTTTAAATTTTTATGGAAAAAGATAGGTAACATATATGAAGAGGACCAAAGTATGAGACAGAGAACAGGTGAGACTGACAGACTTTTTTTTTAAGGATTTACTTCTGCCCTCTTAAGAATTCTTTTTAAAGTTAGTAATTAGAATATTTAAAGTGAATGTCTTTACACTGGTCAAAACCAATTCCAGGAAGTCATTATCTCCTCCTTTCTACCTCTTAGAATCTCTAGCTTCCCTTAAAGCTCATCTCAAGTGGCACTTTCTCTATGAAGTCTTTCCTTATCCCCCAGTTATTCATTTCTCCCCTCCTGAAAATATACCTTTTATTTATTTTGTGTGTGCACATTTCATATATGCATATGTCATCTCTCCCAATAGAATGCCACCTTCTTAAGGATGGTGACTGATCCATTTTGGCTTTTGTGTCCTCAGCACAGTTATTAGAGCTTAATAAATGCTTGCTGATTGACCCATCAATTCAGAGAAGATAAAAATCATCAGAACATTAAATGATAATTCAGTGTATGGAATTTAAAACAATGGTATGCTGAAGAAAATTTTAAAGAATGCACTTATTTGAGCCACAGGACTTAGAGAATTCTCTCCTCCCATCATCTAGTAGAAATGCAGTTTAAACTGCACAAATTGTATACCATTGACTAATGATGTTCAGTTTAATTCTAAAACTGTTTAGCATATTCCATGATCAAAATACTATCTCAGGTAGTAGAATGACAAAGATAAGAAATTACAGACCTTGTTTCAAGGAACTTGCAATATAGTAAGGGGATAAGACAATATGAAAATGACTAGTTCTACTTGTGGCATTATAGCTACAGAGAAGAAATCTGATCAGCTTTAGAGATTTAAGGAGGTGGTGGAATCAGAGAAGACTCCACGGAGGAGATGAAGCTATTATTATGAAGGGAGCTATATGATAAAAGAAAGGAAGGATTTTAACAGGTAGAGAGAACTGGAGGGAGTCCACATGAAACATAGGAACACTATATGGTCCACCTCCCTCTATAATATAGAGAGAGGTAAGAGGAAGCAGACTGAGTTGGAAAAGGGCTATGTATGAGACAGAGACCACTACTCAAATTTAAAACAAAGACTTAGTTACCCTGAAAGCAGAAAGGAGTTTATTGCTTTCTCATGAGAAAGGGTACAGCCCCTGGTTGCCCTAATGGTGCAGGCCAAGGAGGCTGAGTACAAGTCCAAGTTGGTTACAGAAGGCAAGGCTTATTTATATTCTAACATGATTTCCTCCTCCCAAAACCCTCTTCCCCTTATCCCATTGGTTGGGCTTCAGGGGACACAAAGTATTCAAGGAAATCTCCCCCAGCAACAGAGTGCACAAGTTTGCCTGGAGACAAGAAAAGGGGGGAAGTCTTGCAAGAGTAGGTTGAGGTTAGGGCTATTCTATTCTTTCTGCTACATGGTTAAAAATGGGGCCAAAGGGGGTTTTGACAAGGTCAGAAGGAAGTGTGTTTCAACAATACAATTAGAATGCCATCTACAACAAGTGCCTTCAATTTCTCTCCTCCCACTCTTCTTACTGTCTGGCTTCTGACTTTATCTCTCTCCAGATGACCAGTGATCTCCTAATTGCTGCCTTTTGTGAGAACTATTAACAAAAACTACTAACCCGTTGAGGAGGCTTCAAGTCTGAGAGATTATCATCTCTCACAGCTAGAAGGCTAATTTGACTAGAACAAATAATCAGTGTGGGCAGTAGGGTGAGATGACTAAAGATAAACTGGAACTAAATTTTGGAGGACTTTAAATCCTTTGAACGGTCAGTGAAAATTCGAATAAAAATTTAATTCCTAGAATTTTAGAATAAGAGAGACTTTTATAGCTCATGTATTTCACTCCCTCAATATTGTAGATGAGGAAGCCAAGACATAGAGACATTTAAAGACTTGCCCAACATCACTAGCCAGTTTGAGTCTAGAACCCCGATTTTTTGATTCCTAGCCCAGTGCTCAGTAGAATCTGCGTTCTTTGTTTTTATAAAATAATTAGCCAAACACAAGATCCAACTCTTAGCAAAAGGATCAACACTTACTCTTTACTGAGTTTAGTATTTCAAAATAATAACTATATGAAAAGGTGTGATATATTGTTTAGTTTTAAATTCATATGAAAACATTCCGTTTATTCATATTGTTTCAAATGAATTGCAGTATAAATTATGTTGTTCTCCACTTGAAATAACGCATCTTAGTAATCCCACTAAGTAATAAAGAAATAGCTGGAGAATGAATGTGGAATCTTATGTGAGCATGTAGTCACTCTCACAGAAAACCTCAATCTAATATATTGTTCACCAGGCAGGATTGTTACCATTTTTATTGCCATGGATGTTGTTGAGAATGAAAACAATAGATCACATTCAGAAAACAACTTCTCACAACAACATTCTGAGATGGGTCATTTAATTAATGTCATAGAATCATAAGCATGTAACTAGAAGTTCTGGAACTTTTGAGATCATCTAGATAGTTAATTCTCATACCTTTTGGTCTTGGGTCCCCTTTACACTCTTAAAAATTATTTAGGACACACCAAAGACTTTTTGTTTATGTGGATTATATCTATTGGCATTTACTATTTGAAATTTAAACATCTTTTTAAAAAATTGTATTGACCTCAAAGACCCCCTGAAAGGGTTTTGTGGCTAGAGGAACCCCTCATAATTCATCTGAGTCACCATAGGAAATGGAAACAGACTATTTAAGCTATTTGCTCAGGATCAAAAAAAGAAGTCCTGATTTTAGAGGTAGGAAGGCTAAGGTTCAGTGAAGTTGAATGAACTTGAGAGACACAGCAAGTGAATGGCAGAGTCAGAATCAGATCCAAATCTCCTGATCCCATTAGCAGAGTTCTATCACAGCTTGCTACATTGCCACTCAACAAGGTGAAGTACCTTGCTCAAGATCACATACTACTACATTGTTATTTGGTCTAATTTGAGACTTACAAATGTGGAAGCATAGGGAAAAATGGAAAGGTTCCAAAAGATGTTAATAATTAAAGGAATGAATTTATGACTTATGACAATGGTATATTAGATATATGATATTTGGCCTGAAGTAAATAAACCTGCTGGAACATCTCCTAAGAATGAATGAATGTTAGGTACAGGATAAATACTTTTATAGATTCATTGAAAAATCTTAAAATGCTTCTCAAGAGACTTTAGTTAGATGTCAGTGCTATCAGAGAGGTTAGAACTATCCCCCCCCCAAAAAGTTGGTAATTATTACCATTTCTCTAGGTTAAAGAGTAGGAAACTTTTCAGATCAATGTAAAACAAGGCATTTTTGTTTTTGCATATCAGTAAATAGACAACTTAGTTATATTGCGGGGGAGAGTGGAGAAGAGAAATAAACAATATTGTAATCACATGCTTTTTAAATTAATAATGAAAAATAAAATTTTGTTCAGTAAGTTACAACAGCTATATTGGTCTTTTGGCTACACAATACACTTTTGCAACAGATGTTCCCCACAACTGGAGTTTGTTCCCTCTTCATCATCTTCTACCTTTTGAAATCCTTGCTTTCCATCAAGACTCTTTGCAAGCATCATCTTCTACAAGAATTTAGTCCCATTCCCTCCTCCAACTACTAATTTACCCCCTCCCCAAACTATCTCACATTCCTCTGTCATGTATCACATATATAAGTGCCTATATATGTATATATGTATATACAAACATATATGTATAGTTCATATTATCTCCCCTGTTATACCATAAGAGGCTGGAGGGCAAAGACTTTGGTCTTTGATCTCCAATACTTATGCAACTAATAAATGCTTGTTGAATGATATATACATCACATATATTTCATTTACATAAAGAGAAATAGGGGAGAGAGGGAAGAAGGATGAAAAGGGACAAATGAGGTAGGGTTAATGGACAGGTAGAAAAAAATGAGAAAGAGAGACAAACAGAGGCACAGGGAGAGAGACAGGGGCTAAAAGAGAGATGAATGGAAAAAGACTCAAGTTCTGAGAAGACCATGTGTTATTCCTTTTAAAAGGTCCTAGCGGTTACCTAACATTTTAATTTTTTAGCTCCATATTTGACATCAACAGAAAAAAGCCTAAAACTTCTGCAAATAAGGAATGGGGCTTTAATATGTTTTCTATTAAAAGTAAAATGAAAATTATGGAAATCACTACACATTTACCCAGATCCAGTTAAGACATCCAGAAAAAAGGGAAGCTTACCTTTGGAAATGTAGGCATAAAGGCAACAATGGTCACTTCTTTGGGCTGATTTTCTTTGGTGGCTCCAAATCTTAAGATTAAGTAGTTATTTTGCTCTGCTTCAGATCCA